GTAATATATCTCTCAATTTCGATATCACAAAATTGGTTTAAAACACATTCGGGAAGAGTGGGCGGACACAAGCGCGCACTGTAGTGCGCTTATTGGGCGCTGCAGCCTGCACAAAACAGACCTCTCGGGTCTGTTTTGCTAAGCCCGCGCGCTGCAGCGCACGGACGCGCTGCAGCGCGCTTCTTGGGCGCTGCAGCCTGCGCAAAACAGACCTCTCGGGTCTATTTTGCTAAGCCCGCGCGCTGCAGCGCATAGCAGCGTGTGCTGCAGCGCACGGACGCGCTGCAGCGTGCTTCTTAGGCGCTGCAGCGCAAATTGTTAACAGAAAATGTGTTTTCATGTGTTTTAGTGATCTGAAAAGGTCTCGAACCATTGCATCTATTTGTGATATGTTTTCTCACATATCTGAGCACTTATTAACAATAGAAATATCTATTGATATAAGTGCATCAGCATATAAAAGATAACCTTTAAAATTTGAAAAGGTATCTTTATGTGAAAGGTTGTAACACTTAAGGAGGATGGATGCATCCCTGTCTTTATTTGATGGACTTCAGAAAATACAGAATAATGGTTGTTCTGGAACTCAATATTTTTGCTGGATATTGTGTTCAAGGGTTTGTTGTATCTTGGGGGTAATTTGCCATTTTAAAACTCGTTAGCAAATTTTGAGAAGTGAGGGCAAATAAAACCTTAAAGAAAAGTATTCATATACGCCTCAAACCCTCTTTCTGCTTTCTCTATTTTTTTCATCGTCCCAATTCTGAATTTTTCCAACAAAAAAATCTATTATATGATATTTCATATTAGCATGTATTGTTTGCAAAATAATGAACTCTTACTCGAATTCAAAATGATTCATGAGTACATTTTATTGGGGGAAAACTAATCTAGAAAATGACAAAATTAACCTTTAAAATTTGGTGCCAAAGGCACATGGTTTCAATGATATAATCATAAAATGTTGTCTTAGATCTTGAAGAAAGGTGGACTGAATCAGAATGGGACAGCATGCAAGATCTGTATATATATCCAAAATACAAAGAATCAAATAAGATGCAAGCCCTTCAATTATTATACGTATTTGATCTTCCCAAAAGGGAAAAAAAGATTAAAATACTTAATCTCTCTTTCTTAAATCTTTAGCTCGTGTGAACAACAAATGAACATCAGATCAATAAAAATGCACAATATTCCTAATCACTCCCTTTTTTCACCTTCTTAAAGAAATGTCACATTCCGGATCTTTTGCCTGGCAACCCATGTGCAGTGAAGAGGATCCTGATTTGAAAATGCATTCAATCTCTAATGCGAATTAACAGCCAAATTAGTACATATTATTATTTTGTATAATCGTAATTCTGAAAGCTTTTGCTTGTGTTGGTCTTTGGTCGGAAATAATTGAATAGTTTATAATAAGTTTATAGAAGCGACGGTGGTCACTGGTGGTATATGGGAGAGGGCAAGCTTGAGAATAACTGCAATCGTGTAGAGATTTCTGGCAACAACCAACATGGACGCTTGTGTCGAGGAGTATGTTCAAATCAATGATCAGTTGTTGATCAGGGATTTCATAATTATGGAGGACACTTATGGGATGTTTGTTTTAAGGGTTCATCTCTGATTTTAAATTATGATTCTTGATTCTCTATAATGTTTTTCTCTCACAAAAAATTAAAATTTCAAAAATTAGAATCATGAATCATGATTCTGAACTCATAAATCAAAAGTCTCATTAATGATCCTAAGTTGAATAAAATTAGTATTAAACTTGTGTTCGTGCTCCTCTTAGTGAAAATTACCAGAATGATTATCTTGTAAAATGAAATTGATAAAACGATATTTTTTTGGGACATTTTTTGCAAAAAGTGGTCGTTTTTACACATAAGATGTTAGTGGGAATGGTCAGGCTTTTAGTTTGCTCCAATAAAATTTGAGGTTCGAACCAACTCATGAGCACCTATATGACAAAAATCATTGTTTCCTACCTTCTAAAGATCGTAGGGTTTGGCAGAGGGCTGCAGCGGATTCATAAAGTGTATTTGGGAGATTTTTGGGTGCAAAAAAAAAAAAAAAAAAAAAAAAAGTCATTTCTAATGGTTCCGTAGTGACTTTGCAAGTAAATTTTTTTTTAAAGTTATTTTACTAAAAGCTTTTCTTGTTACATATCATTTCACTACTTTAAGAGCTACTGAATTCAATGTTTGCATGTTCCTTTCTGTGTACTGATGTTTCTGATCAAGGATATGATTCAACTAATAGGTAATACTAACAAGAAATTAGACAATGAAAATCATGGGAAATGACTTTTCTTTGATAAGAGAAGAGACTATTCTGATTTATTTTTGTCGCTCACAATATATAATAACAAGTTACCCATTTCAAATGCCTAAAATCATGCCAATAGAAATGCTTTGGTAAAATAGTAATTTATCTTAGCTCGACTCAACTTGATCATGAAGTCTAACGAGCACTGAAATGCCATCCAAAATCTTCATTTCATACTCTTACAAAGGAAGCTGAACACATATAAAGCATAGGTGGAAAAGAGGCTTGTCTGGTACCTTCTTTTCTTTGTTATTATCATAGAAAACCATTTCATTGAACCAAACTGATAAAACAATAGAAAACTGTAGAAACAGAGTCCAATAAAGTCAGCACAAGAACACAAACAACCTCCCCTAAAAAGCAAGAAGTCGAATTAAAATGAATCAAAATATAAGCGACGATATTATCGATTCTTCTCACTCAATTAAAAAAGACAATCTTAAACGAAATCATTTGATCCGTAACACCTACCAATTTAAGTACAGTCTCGCGAAACCTTCCACGACCATCTTAGCATCACCCTAAACAACTACTACATTGGTAATTTTGGCAAGATGGTGATCGAGTTGTAGCTTAACTTATGGCTTACCATATCTTTTTCTGCACCTCAAATATGCAGGATTTAACTCCAAATTGCTTCGTAAAATAGTAAGGCCTAGCCCATACCTTATCGCTGGAAATATTGGCCATGCATGCGGCCCATACTCTGATAAAGTGATACCAATCTCATAACCCCAAATTGCTTCAGGATTTTGATTTTGATTAAGCATAATGACAAATGTCCAACTTTTGACAACTTTTTTTTTTTAGATTATTCGAACTAGTCCATGGTTTATCCATATCTGTGTGCTTTCAACTGTCTGCACGCGGTGGTAATCCAAATTTGGATCCATACTGGAAGATCCTGCACATCTGTTTGGTAAGCAAATTATACTCTGCGATAAAACTTAAACAATGTAAACTGTAAATTTTAATCAAACTCTATAACTACATTTGTTTTCTTATGTAAAGGAAAGCATTATAAAGGTAGAGAGTTAGCGTATAATTTCGGGGATTCAAGACATTTCTAAGTATAAGATTCTTTTATAAAGTGAATTGCTTGTATACCCGCACTTACAATGAGAGTGAATCGGACCTAAGATTTTATCGAAGAGAATGGGCAAATCTTACCCCCTCATCAAATGACCAGTGATAACTCTAGAACAACAATCAAATGTTGGGAGTTTTCATCTAGTAACTAGACTTATAAATGTTTTATTACCTTTGAGCAAAAAGTTGAACACGCTAAACAAATTGGATCTGCTATTTGACATCAACATGTATCGTTCCTCGATATGTATTCCATCCAAATCCAAGTAATTTGCAACTTTTTTAATTTTTTATTTATGGCAGTAATTTGCAACTGTTAGCTAAACGTAAATATACTTTTTTTTTAAATGACACGTATATTTACTTGTTGTCGTGGCATCAATGGATTTCACTGAATGCCAGTCAGTGCAGCCACATTGTGATTCTTCTCAGCAATTCTCTCTTCGATATTAAGAACGCTCTAATTTTACAATTCGATTTTTTTTTTCTATTTGCTGTTGTTGTGTTATAAAAATAGTAAATAAATAAATAAAGAGTCGAAAAAATTCACGCAATGGATCCAAAAGTCCAAAGGATTAAGGTTATCCATTCCAGCTACAGCAAGTTTATCAGAAAATTGTTGTCAAATGGATAATCTTATGCATGTGCATGTTATGTGCTGTCACGAAACATTTAAGTTTTATAGATTATCCATCTAGTTCCAGCTTCAAGACAAATAAAAACAGGCACCCTTTTCAAAATGAAGTTAAAATTGAAATAGAAATGGCAGAGAAAAAACGAAGGAAAAAAGATCATTCTGTTCTTGCTCTCAACTTTAAACAAAGTTCCTACCAAAAAGCCATACAAAAGACAACATCAGTAATGCCATTTTTTTTTTTAATAAATGTGAAACAGAACGTTTACCAGTACAACTCAAAAGATTTTACGTTAAGAGAATAATTTATCTACTAAACGAGCTCAAAAAACATTACGTCGTTTGAATCTCGTTTCAATAACTAAGGGTCTATTCGTTTAGGTAGTTTTTGAGTAAAAAATTAAAATAAAAATAACTCGAGTTACAATTTTATTTAATTTTATATTTTTTTACTAATAAGACCAAAGACCAGAGCCGTTGACTAAGCCCATGGCCCATCAAAAATTTCTAACCGTCAGATTATTTCAACTCATCGTTCAACCGATCAAAGCCGTTCATCTCCTCTGTAGAACTGAGATCAGATTTATTTATTTATTTATTTTTAGAAAAACCTAACCAATACGATAGTCATATGCGATAAAACCATAATCCATACGTGAAATTAATCAAAGAAAAAGTATCTAGTATCTACCATTATAGACTTATCATTACTTGACAAAGAAAACAAGAGTCAGACCAGACAAATAATACATGGCCATCCACAAGATAAAAAAAAGTTCTTGATTCTTGACTGCACCAAACAAGCACACATTTTTTTGCCTTAAAAGTTTGATTTCGACAAATTGACAATGCCATGTAACGACCAACAAAAGCATTCAGACATAAAAGCTTCCAAACCTCAACGGAGAAAAAGAACCGGCGGCGAGGAAGTCACCCGAGCTCCGATCGGTCACTTCTCGTTGTTAGCGCGGTCCGACAAGTCGGTGGCGAGACGAGACGCGATCACCGAGTGGTACATGGCGTCGTGGAAAGTCGAGCCCCCCAGAGTCTTCCTCCGGAGCTGCTTGGCCTTGTCTTCGGTGAAACACCCGAGGGAGAACCTGGATCTGAGCCGCTCCGCCTCGGACGCGGGCTCGGGCTCCGGATCCGGGACCGCATTCAGGTTCTGAGACGATGAGTTGATGTAGTCCGGATCGGAGGACCACCCGAAGAGAGGGGCCCACCAGTTGGCAGATAACTGTTTGCGGCGGTTCGGGTCTGGTTTTCTTGAGGAGGATGAAGAGGATGCCTGGATCGGGGCGGTACGGAAGGGTGTGAGGGAAGTGGTCGACATTGGAGCGCTGGGAAGAATGCAAAATGTAGAGAGAGAGAGACAGAGAGGAGAAAGTTGGAGCCTTGAGACAAAAAACGGTGAGAGAGAGAGAAGAGAAGAATGAAGATGGCCAAACCAAAGAGGGTAGGGCTTTTCGATGGTTTTGAGCTAGGCAGAGGGAGATTATCAGCTGTTGTGATATTTACGTGAAACTGTGTGAATGTATGCCTTTAGATGGTGAACTCTTGGAGCTTTTGGAGATTATAGGCGGATATGAAGGATATTTTCGTCTAAAAGGCACTATCTTTTAAGAATCTAGAGGGAGTACAAGTTGAGGTTGGCGTAGGTGATATTGGGTCGGTGAGGGTATGAGAGGAGAAGTGGATAAGTGCACACGTCTATTGTTCAGCACTTTTTCTATTTTGTCTGCTCTTGCTCTTTTAATTGCTTTTTTATGATTTGATAGAATTTGTAGGATTTTTTTTTTTGGGTGCACTTTTCTTTAGGTAGGGATTTGGCGGGGTGAACAAGCAACACAAATTTCCATCACTCTCTTTAATTTTTTCTTTTGATTTTTTGCCTGTGTTTGAAAACGAAATTAGATGACGGATTTTAAAATGGAAAATAATTTTTGTTTGTTTGATTTTAGAGAACGTTTATTTTTTATATTCATTTATAATTCTGAATCATGAATCATAATTCTTTACAGTATTTTCTCTCATAAAAAATACACGTAAAACGAAAATGATTCTGAATACATAAACCAAACGTCCTCTTAATCTTTCTAACTTTAAAAAGAAAAGAAAAAAAATTAACAAATAAATGAGAAATAAAATAACTATTTCAATTTAAATTAGTCATCATCGAAATATTATCATCAAATACATCAAGTTTGATATTTTTATTGTCACATTTCTCCAATGTTTGTGAAATAAAAGAAAATATAGACTCCGTTTATTTTACCGATTTGACTTTAAAATTTGAGTTTTACTACACTAAAAGCTCTCAAAAGCAGTCACATCTAACTTTTTACTACGGTAAAAAACTCTCACATAAAGTCAAATCTCAACTCAAATTAAAAATTCGAATCAGGCGGGCTTATACTTTCAACCATTTTATTTCCTTATCATTATTAAAGTCGCTATTCAATGGTGAATATAAGCAAACAACCAATGAATTAAGAATGACAAAGATTGAGAAAACGACATGGACATCGAAAACTGCAATCGCTAGAACAACTAAAACATATAAACATTAGCATAGATAGAAAATGTCAGCTACCTTCAAACCACAAAAGCGTTGAAAACGACAACCATTACAAAAAGCGATAATTACATAATAACGTCGGACAATGAAAATCCACAACGACATCCATTCGAAAACAACAAAAGATTTAGAAAGTACATGGAAAGAGAAAATGGAATATTACTTAAATAACGATTCCAAACCAACTGCATAAAGTTGTCAAATAGGCCAGGCCGTCCATAGACGGTCCGGCCCAGTCCGTAATAGTGTCAGATTCAGTACGGCCCGATACGGTACTATTACTAGCCATGCCGGCCTGGTACGTTTGATCGGTTAGGGCTAGGCCGCGGCTTCTCAACCCGCGACCCAAGCCCGTGTTGGGAATAATGTCCTAGAAGCATGAGATGTAATATGATATTTATTATTTAATTAATAAAAGAGTTTATTCATTATTTTATGTGCATATATTTATGAATATTTTATAAATATCAAATGAAAATTTCGTGATTGTTTATGTAACCTTAAACATAGTATATAAGTGTTATATACGAGAGGATAGTGTTTAAGGATAATAATAAAAAACATTGTTCATGATGAATTTAATTAAAGTTCGGAATCTTTAATTAAAACATTATTAATACATGTCATTCCCATTTAGAATGGAACGGTGTTATCCGCACTATTAATATGGTGAGATATTGAATGAGTTTATTTCGCATAATAAGATTATGTGGAACAGAGACACAGACACAATATGAATTTCTAATAATTTCCGTTAAGCATAGAAATTCTAATTGAGTCTACCGATGGTCATATATAGGATGATCTTAATCCTGAGTTCTTAACAAACTCCTATTTATGGATTTATGTCTTTTGATTTACTCGGTACGGATTCTGAGACCCTGAATCATATTCATTGTATTTTGGAGACATAATGAAATAGGTAGCTGGGAATGTTATTATACGAGATGGATTCCATTCATTCTTGAGAAAGAAGTAGATAAATAATTCTCTTGAGGGTTGATTCGGTACTTAGACCAGTAGGAGCT